TCGCTATATTGTCATCCATGTCGCAACCACTTGCGATGAACATGGCGTCTACGTCACCAAAGATTCGGCAGAGGTGATCGAATTGGGGTGGATTTTGTTGGATGCCAAAACCTGCGAGGAGGTACGTTGTTGTTGGAGTTTAATAATCCCTTTTTGAATCCAATTCACCCTTCCCCCTCTTCCTGATGCATTTCATTTCCTCTCCCCTCCCGTCTCTGGGCTCGGACCACCACCACCTCGGAAATTGATCCCCCTCCGTGACAGCTGGCTAACATGTGGTTTGATTCGATGTTTAGTTGCACCGTGAAAGTGTGCTCGTCAAGCCCGTCAACACCCCCATCACGCCGCTTTGCAGTAAGTGCACACACACACACACCTACCTAACCAATCGTCATCCCGCCCAATGCCTAGCCATTCCCTCCCTGCCACAACCATTTTCCCTACACCCCGGATGTATCGGTCTGCTGGTTCAATGGCTGACGGTCTCCGAAAGCGAGCCTGACAACTCTGACATGGGAGCACGTCCGCTCGGCAGGTACTTTCCGCGATGCCATCGCCCGTTTCGACGAATTCGCCAAGGAACACCTTATCAACAAGAACCTGGAGTTTGCTTTCGTGACGTTGGATTCGTGGGACCTTCGTGTACAGCTCCCTCGTGAAGCCCGAGACAAGGCCGTCGTTCTTCCCGCATATCTCCAGCATTCCCGGACCTTCGATCTGCGAACCGAGTATCAGAGATGGCAGACCCATCACCCCGAATCTCTACCCTTCGGCCCCAGTTCCCTCTCCAACATCTGTGCCGCCCTCGAAGTTGAACCCGTTCAAACCTCCGCCCCCATCAAACACAACCTTCCCTTCCACCTGCAGGCGCTGGCCCCCGCATCACCCCGACGGGCCATGGAGGAAGCCATTACGCTGGCTCGCGTCCTCCGCGGCTTGATTCGCAAGTCTCAACCCCCGCACGAGCACCCCGAGATCTTGACCCGTCCCATGGATGCGAGAGCGGACGTTCGTGCCTTCCTGGCCGAGCGGAGCAAGGTGCTGCATTTGAGCGGTCTTCCCCACGATACCACCCAGTCTGAGCTCGAAAGCTGGTTTACACAGTTCGGCGGTCGTCCGATCGCCTTCTGGACCCTCCGGACTCCGGATCAGCACAAGCCTACCGGCACTGGCTTTGCGGTCTTCTCGTCTCACGAAGAGGTATGGAATAACTTCACGCACCCCCCTACAGGAGTCCTGTTATGGCGACTAACCCGCTCCGCAGGCGGCAGAAAGTCTTTGCATGAACGGTCGTGCACTGAATGAGAAGGCCATTGAGGTCTCCCCTTCTTCTAGCCGTGTGCTCGATCGTGCCGCAGAGATTCTCACCCCATTCCCTCCCTCGAAGAACCGCCCTCGTCCCGGCGACTGGACCTGCCCCTCCTGTGGATTCTCCAACTTCCAGCGCCGTACCGCTTGTTTCCGTTGCTCGTTCCCTGCCATGGCCGCGGCTCCGGATCCGATGGGTTATGGGGGATTCGGCTACGGCCCGCCCTCCATGATGCCACCTCACATGGGTCACGGTCACGGTATGGGCCATTCTCGTGGCATGGGCGGCAACGGTGGTGTGGTTCCCTTCCGTGCGGGTGACTGGAAGTGCGGCTCGGAGGGTTGTGGCTACCATAACTTCGCTAAGAACATCAACTGTCTGCGTTGTGGTGCACCCCGCTCGGGAGCTGCCGTGGTTGCGGACTCCGCTTTCCCATCGCCCATGGACCCTCCTTCGGGCTTTGGGATGGGCCCTAACTCTATGGCGAGCACCCCGGCGCCTGGTCCCTTTACCTCCACTACTGGTGGCTTTGGTGGATTCACCCAGCAGTTTGGAGCGCCCCCGAGCAACTACGCTCTCCCCTCGGCGCTGGGCAATGGCCCGGGAGGATACCCCCCGATGGGTCAGATGAACGCCGGTTACGGTTCTAGCAATACCTCTCACACCGCCGCTTCTTTCGCCAACCCTGCTACACAGGCCGCTTTCACCGGAGCTGACCACGCCACCTCCACCAGCGCTTCGAACGGCGCTTTCTATGGGGCGGATGGGTCCAACGATCCCTTTGCCTTCCTCTCCACCGGCTTGGGCGGCTTGTCGGTCGGTGACGACGGTCACTCCCGCCGCAACGGTACTGGTGCTAGCAAGTCTCCTGCTTAAAAGGTCACCGCGGAGAATCACTAAGGCGGGGTGGTTGTACTATTTCCATTCTTCTGTGACGGACCCCCTATTTTATGTTTGTGAATATGGTCATCTAGATTGTCGGTATATGTGACGGTTGAATCTCGTTGATGCGCGTTTGTATAGGGAATTCAGCAGTTCTGGTGCATTCGGTTGGGAGGAGCAGGCCGGTAGCGTGTCGTCGTTTCATCGGGTTGGATCCTTTTATCTTTTCTTATTTTGTCTCATCTCTCACAGCCTTTACGTTGACCCTTTTCGGTATGTTTTACTATTGCGTCTTTGAAGCGATGTTTAAGGGTATAGAAGACCATCCTGGCAGATGGGCCCGGGTGGTTTCGTACATCCATTCGCGAGTCACTGGGGCTTCTCGTCCTTATTTTCCTTCGATCGGCATGAGCTTCGCACTTTTCTTCGCTTTCGTCCTTGTGCATCTGATGAAAGGCATCGCTTGTTTCGATCGCAGTGCGACCAGACGTGGAGGCTCTATCATGGCATTGCATTCTAGATATTTGGTCATCTTATTTTTTTTTCTCTGCTTGTCTTGTTTTTTATTTTTCCCAGTTCATCTCTGCGCTCTTCGGCAACAGGAATCATTGGAGAATCACGGTATTGATCACGGATGGGATACACTGGAACGGACTCTGTTGGGGGTGTTGGGGATATTCCTTTTGAAGCCATGAAAATTTCAGCCGACGGCGGATTTCAGATATGCGAGGCAACGGGTTGGGAACTGTGAGTGCAACAGGGTTGTTCTGAATGTCCATAATTCATTTTTGTGTTTTTTGATCATTTCTTACTTGCCTTTACCATCTGTCTTCTATCGGTACCTATGTCCTTTTTTTTCTTTTTTTTTTTTCTTTGTTCACTGCAAGAAAAGTCGATGAGTCATCATTCTGGATCTACGCAGTACAGACTTAGAGACAGTACATTGTCTGCCATTTTGTATAGGGATTGATGGGGCATTGTGAGCGAGAGCGTGGCGTTGGGGTAGACCAGGACGCATTGGTTATTATCTGCTGTCTACCTTATTTTCTACTATAATGTCACATCATGTATGATCCAGCCTTGATCTCGAGCGAACGTATGAAAAGAACTATAGGCAATTCTCAGTCAAATGACAATTATTTGATTACTATCGTTGGCTTCTATTCTGCAGAAATATATGTTTTTCTGTAGCTGCCAGTATTTATCTCTTGTCATTATGGGTAACACGTTAACCACGTTTTCGTTAGGGGAGAGTGATTATTAGAAATTGCAGGTAATGTGCTGTATGGGAAAGAAAACAATATGGTCAGATCCATGAAACTGGTACAAGCTATATTCCAAGTGTGTCAGTCAAATATAGAGACTTTGATGTGGGTGGTCAACCGGAAGTAGGTAACCGCGCGCCTAGGGCGCTAGAGGGGGGAGCTCTGGAGGTCTGGAGGCAACCGCGGGACTCGCGTCCACCTCCATCTGTCATCGCTCAGGACGGCTCCCCATCCCAGCATTCTACGACCTGAATCCCACGAATTGCCCTTTTCAATAAATATCTCGTCCTCATACCATTTGGTTTTGTTTTCCTGGTTTTTCTTCGGTTTTCACTGTTTTCCTCTCGCCCATAATGTCCGGATATGACCGAGCTCTTTCAGGTAAGATAGCTTAGGACCTTAGTTCCAGGTGCTTCTCAGTGGGGTGATCAACTGAATCTAACCAACCTGCAGTATTCAGGTATGAAGACCGTTCCTTGCAGCATTCTGTACAGCTCTTTGACTCGTTTCCAGCCCTGATGGGCACGTCTTCCAGGTGGAGTATGCCATGGAAGCTGTTAAGAGAGGTACGTCACCGCCAACCAGGTCGGCCGCATCCTCCTTTCTGACCACCAGCGTTGTTTTCATCTAGGAACCTGCGCCGTCGGAGTAAAAGGTAAAGATGTTGTCGTGCTGGGCTGCGAGAAGCGCTCCGCCTTGAAGCTCCAAGATACCCGCATCACACCATCGAAGATCGCCGTGCTGGACAATCATGCCGTTCTCGCTTTCGCTGGATTGAACGCCGATGCTCGTATCCTCATCGATAAGGCTAGACTAGAGGCCCAGTCCCACCGCTTGACCGTTGAAGATCCCGTCACCATCGAATACATCACCAAATATATCGCCGGTGTGCAGCAGCGGTACACGCAAAGTGGAGGTGTTCGGCCCTTCGGTATTAGTACCCTGGTTGTGGGATTCGATCCGAATGATGAGGTGCCCAGATTATATCAGACTGAGCCTTCGGGTATCTATTCTGCTTGGTAGGTGGCATTGGTGGTTGGTTCTGGGATACAAGGAGAGAATGGCTAATGGGTGTACGGTGATATAGGAAAGCCAACGCTATCGGCCGTTCTAGCAAGACTGTTCGGGAATTCCTCGAGCGCAATCACCAGGATGATATGGACCGTGAGCAGACGATTCAGCTTACCATCAAGTCCTTGTTGGAGGTTGTGCAGACCGGCGCCAAGAACATCGAGGTGGCTATCATGTCGCCCGGGCAGACGCTCGAGATGCTGCCTGAAGATCAGATCGAGGCCTACGTTAAGAGTATAGAAACCGAGAAGCAAGAGGAGGCTGCGAAGAAGAAGACGGCTCGGACCAGCACCACGACGGCGGCCATCCTAACAAGAGGTGGTGGAGAGTCCAGCGACGCCTAGGAGTAAGGCTGGTTTAGTGAATTTAGAGCTACATGCCTCTTGTTGACGTCCTACACGTTTTTCCCTTTATAATATCGGAGATCTTGCCGAAGCGACTTTACGACAATAAATAACTCTTTCCCCGTCGTTTATATACAGACCCCCCCTGGGGGCGGTCTCTCTAGGAATATTGTTGTCTGAAGATTTGTAGCCTGATTGTCGGCAGGCGGTAGGAAGCATAAGATCGTAATCGTCGTAATCCACAGTCGGTCGCCTCCACTTATCCCAGACGATCCTCGGCATCCCGGACGTTGAAGATCGACCGCTCCTGATGGCCGCGTACTCGGTCATCTTTGAGCATTCTTTCCGGTATATCAGTACCCCATCCTGGAAAATTGACAAGGGGAAGTACCTGTTGTCGATACGAGCATCCTCACCCTCTACCTGCAACGCAGGCTTGGGTGTGACGGCCTCTAGCACAAAATGGTTATCGCAGTGCGGGCAGTACTCGTCACTATCAAAAATTTCCCCTTAGCCATATATTGTATGCTTGCCCCGCGAAGGATTGACCCACCTCTCTTCAAATTCTGTCGAGTCCTTCCGGAAACACTTCTTGCACTTTTTACAGGCGAAAACCTGTGCCAAATCTCCCTTAGAATGTCTATCGGCTGGAAAGGGGACATGAATGGTGGTGTACCATTTCGGTGTTCTTCATGAGGGGGTGGGATTCTTGTTCATGATGGCATTCGGCGCAATCAAACCACTTCCGGCCTGGATTCCGTATGAGTAGGACGATGGCTGTGGTGAATTTGTAATAGACTCACAGCATGCCGAACGAATGGCCACTTGGGCGTTGAGGATGTGTTTACTGCGCGGGAGGGAGGGTGTCAGTTGACCGGTTGATGGATTTGCAATATAAATTTTGGTTTTCTGTTTTTTTTTTTTTTTTTTTTTTTTTTTTTTTTTTTTTTTTTTTTTTTTTTTTTTTTTTTTTTTTTTTTTTTTTTTTTTTTCTCTTTTCTCTCTCCTTTTTTTTTTATGGTGGCTTGACGAGGGAGACAGGATCGTCGACGTACCACATGATGAAGAAGAGGGATTTGAGTCAGGGGATGAGGGTCTACGTGGGTGGTGGAGGCTCAAGTGAGGAAAATCGAAGGAAGAGAGGGTCGTCTATACCGCGATCCTTAAATCACGATTATTGGGGAGGGATTGAATTAAAATTATTTGGCAGGGCGGAAACTAAAAATAAAGGCATGACTGATGGTCTTTACCATGGATTGGAACCAGTGGGAACTCCAACAATAATGACATAGTTATACAACAAGTTCGGGAGGCAGGCAGTGCTTTGCATATTTGTTTTATTTTTATGTTTATTGTTATTTTTGGGGATGGACCGATTGAATTGATTAGGTACGATATTATTATTATCATTATTCACTATCTTATTCGGGGTGGTTTCTTATTTTCTCTGTCCACAACCGACTGGTCTGCTGTACTCGTCATTTTGCCTTCTCCTTTAAGTTCACCTCGTTTTTCCCCTTTCTATCGCGAGATCGTCGTCACACCACAACCGTTCTTTCAACTCTCTCTCTTTCACTTCCGAACTCTCTCCTACTCTCTCTTTATATCCCTCCTTCCATCGCTTTGGAACCTATTCTTTCCCTCCCGCCCGGAAGATCCATTCCGCTGAACTTTCCCCCTCCCTCTCCGCTCCGGTCTGTATTTATAGCAGCCGATTCGTTTCCGCCTGACGAACTGCCCGCAACTCCGCCACAGTCTCGACCCCTCGGGTCTGTTAACCGCAACGTTGTCAACCTCGGGGTGATCTATCTTACATACTATTGACTCTACGGTCACTAAGATCTTACCTGCATCGTGTACACTGTTCCATTGAAGCCTATGATCGGTCTTTGCAACCCGTCATCGTGCCAGATCTATAGTGGTGGCCATGGAGGGAAATGGTAGATCGAGGGACGGCACCGATAGTGCTCCCCTTGTACGTCTAGCGCATTACCTCCCTCCCCAAATGCTAATGGGGGATTCCCTACTCACACAATTAACTTCTACAGAGACCAGTGTCTTCCCTTCTGTCTCATTTCGAAAACCTATCCCATCGCCGAGCCCCGTCTGCCTCTCCAAGCGGCCCCCGCGACCCGACCTCGTACCTGAAATCTCCTGAGCCCGTTGATGACTTTCGTTCGGCCCGCGCCTCTCTGGACTTGTCTCGTCCGCGGTCTCCTTGGGTCTCATCTACAAACTTTCCGAATAGCCAAGGGACCGAGTATACAAATGGCGCTCCGCGTCAACGTGGGGTGTCCCCGGGACGATCGCCAGGCAGACGGCAAAGTAGACCCATGTCGATGAACCTACATTCCTCGCCGCAACTGGCGCCCACCCTCACAGTTGATTCACCCCGATCCCCTCCACGGGGCTTTGGGACACATCCAGACCACAATGAAGATATTCGGGCGTCTCGCACACCACCGAATGCTCCGCGGGAATCATTACCGCCCAGGCCGATTGCGCAGGCAAACTCCCTTACTCGCCCGACCACTCCCACCTATCCATCGTCGGTGCCGACCGAACACAGAATCGCCCATCTGTCTCCAGGGCATGCAGACTCCGCGTTATCGACTCGTGACAGTCCGCCGGAGCGACGGTTGAAGAGTGCTTCGTTGCCCCCACCCGCTAACCGAGCGGAGAAGCCTAAAATCCCCGCCAAACCTGTTGGCTTGTCATTCCATGATGGAAATGGCCTGGCCCCTCGTCAGGAACGTCCCCATGTAGAGGATGGGGCATCTCCCTTCAATACGCCTCCGGGCAGTCCCGACAAATCACCGCCGAAAATACCGTCCGCCACAAAGCCGCAGCCGCCGCCTTCCCCATCTCGACCTGTACCCCCGCCGGCGCGGAGATCTTTCGACGAAAGGAGACCGCACCCAAGTGCACTTGGCTTGCCGGAACGGCCACAACCTCCTCGGCGGCCATCCCCGAGGCCTACACGAGACACGAAACCCTTGATGGTACAAATACCGTCACGACAAACCCCGCAACAGGAAACTATGTCGGCTATACCACATACCGCTCATCGTTTCCAGACATTCGACAGCCCCCGGGAGCCTCCTGGCTTGCCCCCGCGGCAGCCGTCGATAGCACGTCGAGGTGCTCGGTCGCCAGGAGCACAGCTTGATCGTTTACGGAGTCCGGTCCAGCCTGAGTGCCCCCCTCGACCGGAGTTGCGCCCACACCTTACAGGCGAGGTCCATACGCCGCGACAGCTCCAGCGACAGCCGTCGTTTTCCCGAGAGACTAAGCCTGGACCTCCCCCGGCCATCCCAGAGCGCCCTGTTGCCGATCGGCCGGTTGTGGAGAGGCAACCGGTACGTCCAGTGCCGGCCCCGAGCGAGGATGAGCAGCCTCTCGATGAGGCCCCCGCTCCACGGACGGACTACCCGGATGCGTCTTTTGCCAACCGGCGACCGCCGCTTCTGAAGAAAGGCCCCCAGGAGATCCCGACGCGCTACGACACGCGACTCATGGATGTGTGTGGGAAGTACGTATGTACCACTGGATATCTGACCCGAGTGTGGGACCTCACGACGGGCGAACAGATCATGACGCTCAGTCATGGCGAAACCGTCAAATGTCTGTCGCTAGCTTTCAAACCGGGGAAGGGTCTGGAGGATGAGGGACAGCGGCTGTGGCTTGGTACCAGCGCTGGCGATCTTCATGAGGTTGATATTGCGACTCAATCGGTTGTGGCGTCACGATCCTATCCCTCGCGCAGGGAAGTGATCAAGATCCATCGGCATAAGAAAGAGATGTGGACTTTAGATGATGAGGGGCGCTTGCTCGTCTGGCCGCCGGACGAGTCTGGAACTCCTAATCTCCAGTATAGCTACCATAATCCTTATGACCGGGTCGCGCGTGGGCATACATTTTCGGTTGTAGTAGGTGATACGCTCTGGTTGGCAACGGGTAGAGAGGTACAAATCTATCGACCCAATGCACGCGACGACGTGTCCTTCAAAGTGCTCAAGCGGCCACTGGGATCGCAGCATTCGGGAGAGGTTACATCAGGGGCTTATACTACTAAAGACGGCGGCCGTGTGTATCTGGGACACGCTGATGGCAAGGTGACTATATACTCGGCCCATGATTATACGTGTCTCGGGGTTGTAAACGTGAGTGTATACAAGATCAACTGCTTAGGTATTGTCGGGGACTATCTTTGGGCTGGGTACAAGACGGGCATGATCTATGTGTACGATACATCAACCAATCCGTGGATGGTGCGGAAGGATTGGCGGGCTCATGACAGTCCGGTGTCTGCATTCCTCCTCGACACCAGCAGTGTGTGGACGATGAACCGGCTTCAAGTGACTTCGTTAGGAACAGATAACTGCATTCGCCTGTGGGACGGCATGCTGGAGGATGATTGGATGGGTAAGTTGCATGGATCGTCACTGCATACAGCGCAACTAACGATCGGACAGAATCTCGGATGCAGGCCAAAGACGTGGAGTACTGCACCTTCCGGGAGATCCGCGCGTCAGTTTTGACGTGGAATGCCGGTGCCTCCACTCCCGGCAGCGCGCGCACATCGACTTTTATCCAAGACGCTATCCATCCTGAGGATCCCCCGGAGATTCTAGTCTTTGGCTTCCAGGAACTGGTGGATCTCGAGAATAAGAAAATCACAGCCAGTGCGTATCTTGTACCCGAGCCGTCGGTCCATTTGACTAACCTGTCGTAGAGAGCTTGCTTATGGGAAGTAAGAAGAAGGAGAGCAGTGAGAAAGAGCATATCAGCCGGCAGTACCGTGTGTGGATGGAGCATCTAACACGGGTTATCAACGAGTGCATGCCCCTTGAAGAGTCGTATGTCCTCTTGCACAGCGCGAACATGATTGGTCTGTTCACGTGTATCTTTGTGAAACATAAAGAGCGCCAGCGGATCCAGGATCTAAGCGCTGCAGAGGTTAAGCGTGGAATGGGTGGATTGCATGGAAACAAGGTACGCGTGAAATATGACATTGTTGTTTGCACTCAGACTGACTGGAGCCTGTAGGGTGCACTTATCCTCCGCTTCATTCTGGACGACAGCTCTCTGTGCTTTGTGAACTGTCACTTGGCAGCTGGGCAGTCGCACACAACACATCGCAATAACGATATCGCCGCTATCCTGGAGTCGGAGTCCCTGCCGCCGGAAGATAGTCTCATGACCCGCGCGGATCGATTTGTCAGTGGCGGAGATGGATCAATGATCATGGATCACGAGATTTGTATCTTGAACGGAGACCTCAACTATCGCATTGACTCCATGCCACGCAACGTCATTATCGAGGACATTCGCAACAACAAATTCACAAAGTTGCTCGAACGAGACCAGTTGTTGGCATCGAGACGCAAGAATCCAGGTTTCCGTCTGCGATCTTTCATCGAGGCCCCGATCACATTTGCACCGACATACAAGTATGACGTGGGCACCGATGACTACGACACTAGCGACAAGAAACGGTCTCCCGCATGGTGTGACCGCGTCCTGTATCGGGGAATCGGCCGGGTGAAACAACTTGAATACCGACGACACGAAGCCAGAGCCTCTGATCACCGTCCAGTCAGCGCATCGTTCAAACTCCGGGTCAAGACCGTCCAGCCCAACGAACGCGCCGCAGTCTGGGAATCCTGCGAACAGGAGTTCCAGAAGGAAAAGCGCCGACTTGCCTCGGAAGCAAGGTACGTCCTCCTCTACTACCATGCACCTCTTCACCAAGCCCAGATATGCTAACAGAGAACCTTACAGCATTGAATACCTCATTAGCGTCCTCGGCACCGAACCCCAACAAGCTCGCGCATTGATATTAGGGAATGGGAACTAATTCACCGTATTCTTACACCCCCTTCGTTCATTGTTTCCCTAGATGCAGTTACATTGGCTATTGAGCGGATAAGAAGATTAGAGATTAGCGCAAGGCGATGTGTACGACTAATGATTTCACGATAGATATGTATCATGAGCTGGGTTAGATTATGGGGATGGGTAGAGTAGTTACTTGTCTTAATTCTAATTGTGCTGTATTTATATGATGCCGGCTTTGCTGGAATCTCCATCGATTATTGGCTCTGTTTGATAGCACACATTATCCGTTTGAGGGCAGCAAGGGGTTGCTCAAAGTTTAGTCGCTATTCCTCCTAGCAGTAGTAGAGGGAATTGGCAGGAATCGGTTGTAGTTGGTAGTAACTGGTTGTAACTGGTAGTAATTGGTAGGAGTATTGAAAGTTTGTTTATAGAATCCTAAACTCTAACTAGAGAACGGGGCCCAATGACACAAATCCAAGTGGAGCCTTTCCTGTCATCTCCAAACAGACCCCTGTTGGTCATGACTCTGCCAGTCCAGTCAAATCGACAGGGTCTCACGTCAGGCTAGTAGATAGATCAAAGAGAATTGGTAGTTCTCTAGCCAATGATATGTCACGATCGACAGAGATTATACGGGATGTAGCACCTCTCACTGCACGTTTCCCTCATCAGTTAGAAGAGCCCATTGGCTAGAAGCCCGACAACCTATATAGGATTCTGTATGTAGAATTGTAGCCCAGGACAGCCTACAAAGTTGTTGCCCACATCTATCTATAAATACGATGTGCCATAGAAGGACAAATCTTCCTCTCAACAAGTTACATCCCTCACAGCCTTGTCATCTTCATAGATCCTCAATCAGACTATCTTCGGTTGCATTGCTCTCTCCCCCTCTCCCTCGTTTTCTTTTTCCTTTCCCCTTTCTCGTTAGCGGCTTACTATGGAAGAGACCATGGAAGGTTCTATATGGGGAGCTTCGGAGTTTCCGTGCACGGAGGACCAACAGGTTGAACCGACATTCCCAAATCAGGAACAGGGCTATTTGGGCCCATATCATTCCTATGCACTGATGACTGCTACTCCATATCCTTCCCGGTCAGCATCCGGCATGGTGCACGCAGATCCAACCATCCCCGATCTTTCACCCGCCTTCTTGCCCTGGCTGATAGATGACAATATACCGACACATATCCCAGCCCATGGCAATAACGTTAACACTCAATTAACCCCGGCCACGTACAATTCATCTCAGGGTCATCCCCAAGAGCACCCTCACATCCCGAGCCCTAATATCCAGCATCCATCTCAGCCACCGACCAACAACCATACTAGAACAATTGATCAGAAAGCCAAGACCCAGTCCAAAACAGCCAAATCCAAGTAAGCTCGATAATTCCTAGATTGTGCCCTATTCAATCCAGTATCTCTGCTCTAACAACGTCCTCCGCAGAACCAACAGCTCAACCAAGCCAAAAAAGTGGCGCTGCGACCGGAAGGGCTGTAAATACAAGGGCACGTTCGCCCGCAAAGCAGAGCTGAAGCGCCATATTGAATCCTTGCACGTTGCCCCTGGTTCGCATGAGTGTCCGTTTTGCGGGAGGCAGCATAATCGTAAGGATAATCTTACTTCGCATTTGAAGACTGTGCATTGAGGGCTTTTATTTTCTTCTTTTATGCTCCCCATTTCCTATCCAATTTTTCTTACTTATTCTTAGCAAAAGTTAGCTTTGATGTGTTCTTAGTTCGCATTTCGGGGTTCACTGTTTGTGGTGCTTCTTGGTATATAGGGCTATAGATTATTGGTTGTTAGTAGACGTGAAGTTATTTGTTCTTATTGAAGTATCCAAACCACAGTAAACGTTCTATTAGCCTGTTGGAGCGTAGCTATTACACATCTAGCTATGCAGCTGCTACAGGCAGTATTAAAGGCAATGGCATTTTCTCAATACAGATAACGTCAGTGTGCTGGGATTTGCATTGCATATAATACATTTGTCGAACATGTCCATGTATAGTATTGTTTAATAGGCTATGTTGCCTATACCTTTATAAAAGTCCCGTGCTTAGGAGCGTCGCCCAACATTTCATCCCCACGCAGTGCACAGTCGGAGTAATCATAGTTTATGGTTGATGATACAGTTTTACACGAGTGATCATCCCTATAGTCAATACTAGCCGAGAGATAGAATGTGTGTGTCTCTGGTATTAGGCCAAAGCTTCAGAGAGTTAAATCCTAGTAGATATATGGGAGGCAAATAGGAGACTAAAATGGAGACCAACCTATCGTTATACAGTCACACTGAGCAATATGACCATCAATGTCCCAATATCCACATTTTCCAGGCTAATTCGCTCGTTGGTTAAAAGGAACCCAACTCGAGGGCGGAAGGGTTTCACCTGATTGCCGTATTTCTGGGCAGCGGAAGTGTTTGGAAGTGATGGATTTAGAGGTATCCATTTGGAGCGCTCCGATATAGATACAGGCCCCGATGATGGAGGCCTAGAGCTTTCAATACTGGTGACCAGGGAATGGATAGCTCCCGCTAGTGTCAGCACAGCAAGGTAACCTAGCCCCAAGATTATGGATCCTGGAACGTAACAGCATCAGTATGTAAATTCCTTCCGTAGTTATCAGGGAAAATTGTTACGCTTCATTATTGGGAAGGATCCAAAGTTGATAAAGTATACGTAAAGGCTCAATGATAAAGATAGATAAACTGTAGAGTCAGCCGACTAGAGCAGGTCGGATCTAAAGAGATAATACTCTGAATGAATGCAATGACAGCTGCGACAGAGCTTGCTTTATAACTATTTTTGATGAGCCCTTAGATGTCCTCTCTCTCACACAATATTAGCCTTTTGAATTCTGACTGCTTTACGCGTATAAAATCTCTAATACGATATGGACATTATTAGCTCGGTCTTACCTTATGACGCCTCCTTCCACGGAGCAGTCGACCCATCAAGCCAACACTAGAGAGGATACGGTATACTATTGGATTATAATCACCATGCCTGCTCCGTACAATACTAACTCAGTAAGCCCTATTTTCCGAATATCGAAATTGGAAGGAACGCCAGGCATATATGTTTCAGCATTTCCTTGCTCGCTACAAACATTAGCGCCGATGGTTACTACCAGCCTTTTACGTATCAATAGCTTTTCGAAGTTGGTAATCTAGTCATAGAGTCTAAAGAAGAAAACTGAAACCTTTTGGAGATAATAAAGTCAGTAGGTGTCATCTTATAGAAGACGCACTACGAAGTATGTGAACCTTTTCCTTATACGAGGACGTTATAGGCTATTAACATAAAAGCTATCTCTGCTCAATTAAACAAGGCATGTACCTAGCCGATAATACTGATTCTGATGTAGCCTCATAGACTCAAAATAACAAGAAGCGTGACAATGATCGTGCCCTCCAGTTGTACAGGAAACCTTAGGGATGCACTGCTACATTCTAGCGGTCATGATGTTAGCGTTATCTTTGGATTACTTACTGCTGTATTATAGCTCCCCGGGCCTTGGATGGAGAAGCACTGTACGCGGTAGTAGCTGGAGACAAGGATATAGCTCACGCAGAAATCATGTCATCTGATTAATGCTAGCCTATATTGAATTGGACTGCTCTATTGTTTCTACATTTCTCCACCTAGTAGATCGTTAAAGCACAATACTATTTGGAATACTACCTGCCTCCAATGGAGAGATTTATCTATCAGTGAGCTGTTGGCTGTAAATGACCTCTATGTAGAATAAGGTCGGGAACTGAGCGGGGCATCTTATTTTGACCGACGCTAACATGTCGATTGTAGGTATTGAGGTCAAAGCAGAGAAATATGGGAGCCTAGGGCGTTTTAAAGCCGAGAAGAGGACAGAAATGATGACTGAAGGAAAATGGAAACGAGAGGAGACAGCAACTCATATAGGTAATATAAAACAGACTTTTTTTTCCCGAGAGGGCCACTATTTAATCTAGTACAGCTTGTCCCTAGCTCCAACGATCTTAAAACTATATATTTATCCTTTCTATTAGTCTTTTGTCCCCATTTTGAGTATATTTCACACCGCTCGCGGCTTTATCTAACCTAACCTTTTTTCATACACCATGAACGATAATTGTTTGGCCAGGGTAGAAAGAGAATCAACACTAACCTTGTTGAATATCAGGAACGAACGTTTTGGTGCTGATTTATATGGCTATGCTAGCTTCAGCAGCAGTTATCAGTCCACTAGTTTCTAGTGCTCCGCCGCCCCCCGCCGCACCGGTACTGAAGCGTACTGAATGGATACCTGTGGATGCGCCTATGCCACAGGGAAATGGCAGCTACGAGAAAGGCCACCTGCCATATAATTCGCCCGTGGAAATGTGGCTCCTGGGATGTTGATGGTTACATCGTTCAATGTGAATGCATAATGACAGGTTAGTATCAGTCTGCGCTCTTTTCTTGGGCTCGCACATCCTTATCTAATTGAGCCTTAGGCAGTAAAATAACAGATGGCTACGTCGCCCAGTATGCGGCCAGTGCCTATGACGCTTTCCTCAGCAGCCTCCCTGGGCCAATGTGATGAACAGCAAATGGCTGCGCTTTGCCGTCAAGAACATAATTGGTACCAATGGAAAGCCCAACGTGTTGAACTTCCGATGGAAGAAGGTTTCCAAGGGTAAGCTCCCCTTGACTAAGGAACTGTGCAATGATGCATATAGTATATTGGCAACTGCTCTATGTGACAAACAGGATGCAAAGGCGACTAGAGGGGTAACAATCAAACTCGCAGACGACCAGAGAATTGAGATTGGCGTTGATCCAGATGAGATGAAGAACTTCAAAGAGAAGGACAAGAAGTACACGAGTGTTGGAAGCTCATTGATGCCATGATTGGAACTGACCTGGGATGGCTTTTGGTGCGTATTCTCCCCGTCGCCCGTGTGTGGCACCTTCCTACCTGGCCAACCCCAGCTGAAGTTCAACAGTAACAAGCAATGTCATCTGGTGACGGTTTTAGATATATTCGGCCCAGGCTTGGTGTTTCATTTTGAGAGTCATTGAATACTGTAGAAAATTTGCATTAGGCATGTCCGTCATGCTGAGGTTGAATAGCACGAACAATGTATGTACAACCTTTGACTTCTCAGACTATAAAACGTAGTATGATCTCATACTTCATGCACAAGGAATAAGGTTATTTTTGCAATGTGTCAAGAAGATTATCCACGCTACGTTTATATCAGGTACCGATTCAGAAATTCAATCTACTATTGAGCCGCGCCCTTCTTGACGTTCTTCTCCACATCCGCGTCCTGCCTCCGTCCGCTATTATCGTTCTGTGCCTTCATACTTTTCCATTCCATAGTTAATGCCCCAATCCCAGTAGCACAGGCACAGGCAACCCCAACATAGAACGTATTAATCACAGCCGAATTATAAGCAGGCAGTATCAAAGCCAATTGTTCATCACCAACAACCTGCCGTAGAGCCGTAGCACCCGCCCTTACAACATCCCTCGTATCCACACCCGCAATCCCAGCCACATTCCTCGCGAGACAATTCGCAAAGATATTATTCGCAACAGAAATCCACAAGGCACCGCCAAAATACTGCGCGAAGAAAACTAACGAGATCCCAGTCGAGACATCCTCCGGGGAAAGAACCGTCTGCGCCGCGGCAGCGGGTTGCTGCATGCCGAGCCCTAACCCTAACCCAAAGCAAACCTGGTAGCCAATCCACTTGCTGTGGCCGGTAGTCGTGGTAAAGGTGGTTATTAGGCCAGAACCGACCGCCATTAGGATAGAAGCGGTGATCATGAATGGATTATAGTATCCGGATCTGGTCACTCCAGCGCCAGCGACGATGCTGCCCACCACTAGTCCAATGATCATGGGGAGTGTCATTAGACCTGATTTTACGGCGCTGGCTTCCTTGATTACTTGGAACCAGATTGGAAGGTAGTATAATATTACCATCATTGCGCCGTTGAGCATGAACATGTACCAGAAGCCGGAGAGGATGCTGCGTTGGAGAATGATCCGGGGTGGGACTGTTCCGTTGTCTTGTTTCCATGTTTGGATGCCGATAAAGCATAGGAGGAGGATTCCTGCAATGATGAGGAGGACTATTACTCGGCTGTTGCTCCAGGCGTAAGTGGTGCCGCCCCATTGGAGCGCGAGGAGGAGACAGATCATTGCAGGTAGGAATACCGCTGTGCCGAGGGGGTCTAGCTTCGCTAGACGTTCGCGTGTTGGGAGGTTGTTTTGTGTGGGGTCTGGAAGCTTCAGGATTATTGCGATTATGGCTGTTGTGACGGCCCCGATGGGAAGGTTGATGTAGAAACACCATCTCCATGAGACGTTCTCCGTGAAGGCGCCGCCCATGAGGGGGGCGATGACGGATGCAATGCCAAACACGGCACCGATGAGTCCGGTGTACATGGGTCGTTTGTGTAGTGGCGCGATGTGGACGATAATGACGACGCTGCCTGACATGAGTCCGGAGGCACCTATGCCAGCGATGGCTCGCCCAATAATGAAGGCTGTTGAGGACGGCGCGGCACCGCAGATTACCGAGCCAATTTCGAAGAGAAGGATGGCACTTAGAAACACCCATTTAGGGGAGTAGAATGTATAGATCCGGCCGAACACCAGCTGGAATGAGCAGCATGTGAGCAAGTAGGCACTGCCGTACCAACCGATGTCGTTGAGGGAATGAAAGGTATCGGTGATACGCGGAATGGCTGTTGCAATGATTGTTCGATCCTTTTGTTGTTAGTGCTGCTGATAATATGAAGGGCGGAGGAATACTAATGAGCGTACCAGTGCCAGTAGGAAGATCGCCAGGTATAACGCGATCGTGATCATGATCACCCTTGGCAATGGAGGATAGTCATTGGGGCCTTGCTGCGGATCATTCTTGTTTTCACTCATTTGGTCTTCCTGCATACTCTCACCAACATTAACCGGGGAAGGGGGATTTTGATGATCAATTGACCGGTTGTCACTCGTTGTAGTCATACTGAGAAGAGGGTTGTGTGCTTAGTTGTATGTGCGTCCAACTAATTATCCATACACAACACGATATATAGAGGATATATGTAGTAGAGCTTAAAGAGTAGTACTTACATGCTGTTGATAACCCAGTAATCATTCTTTTTATAGTTTCCATTGGCGCCTGAGCGTGTCCAGCAAAAGATACCATATCAACCATCTCGGGACATACCTCGGCGCCTGTCTCGGGTAGTGAAGTGTCTCGGGCCCGAGAATAAAATAAGCACTAACAAACCACCAATGAGGTACCATGAAATATACATATAAGCTGCCAAGTATTCGGGTACGGGCCTACTGATATCTCATAGCTCGGCCAAAGGTGTTCTTGTGCCGAGTCCTTATCCGAGCTCAAAGATGTCAATATCGTCTCAAATACCTTGCTGTATACCAGATAGGCCAGTTGTAACTTGTCTGACGCTGGTCTAAACCAATAGGTTGTGTCCTATTTCCCTTATCATCAAGCCGAGACATTACACTGGGCTTTCAATAACAAGATTAGTGCTGTCTAATTTTCTATAAACTAACCCACATTCTCAGTTATCTAGATTAGATTTACTGCGTCCTGTTCTTTCAGGTATCTATCAATAAAGCTATTCCAGCACTCTTGAAAACCCACAATCGATTGCAAGCCCCCGAGCCTAGGTATCACACCAACCATTTAAGTAAGGTTCGCAGACTGTTCACGTCATTTTTGGATATCACCACAGTAGTCAACTTTAGTATATTTGGCAATACTGTACAGACATCGGACTGGAGGCTACTCTCTACGACGTATGTCAGTTACCTTTTTCGACAAGCTCAAGAAAAGCCGGCACTTTTGACGACAGGTTAGCGGTAGATATTCGTCAGGCGTTTGGCAATAAAGGGGTAATTGACTTTAAGGTAATGGAGATAGGTTGGTATGGTTAGCTTTGCCCAATAATATGGGGAATTAATATGGGGAATTTCATTTGACCTTGAATATCGTTAAGGCGATGGGGGATGCAAGTGTGGTGCATGATACGCTCTACCATGCCGTGGATTGGGATCTTCTTATTGCTCAACTACACGTGCGGTGCTACTGTTGTTTGATCAATCGTTGGTTCTGTCCCGTAAGCCATATCCGGCTGATACCAGGCTTGTATGCACGGAGTATTCTGAAGTTTACTAACATCAACACCCCTATTATCCTGTACTGAAGTAGACCTCATCTCCCACCACTGCGAGCGCCCTGGGGTCCTATATTTGATAGAAACTGGCCAGTCATTATGTGCGGCATCCTTCTTCTACAGTTCTTAGAGCGTGGGTATGAAATGGCTCCATGGTAAATTTCCAAAAGTTTGAGGCAATTACCACATTGAATTTGCTGTCTTTGTATATGTTTTGCGATAAATGTCATTATTTTACACTTTCCTACAAAACTGACTAGGAGAGGTGGACGGTTTAGTTCAATTTATGAACGTAAATTAACATGTACCTGACATGCATCTTTTCTTTTTTCCAAGACACTGGCTATGCTATGATTGATCATACTCTTACATCGCTATGTCTAATCCACTGGGGCATTGAAGAAGGAAAAGGCCCTAGGGATAACTAAAACTCAGGGAGCTTTACGTCATTCTGGAGCCTGGCTCTTGACTTGTTCGACATGAATGAAGGTATTGAAACATTTCGACAATTTGTCGCTCCATCCCCTCGTCATCCACCTAGAAGTCATTAAGACATTTTAATCGACGTTTGAGAGCCAAATTTAAGGCCCCCCAGCATTAGTTCTCGTTCGAGATTCCTATAGGCGTAAGACAGTTGGGTAATGTTCGGCAGGTATGTGATCAACTCGGATCGGTTCCAGGGCTTGCAGTGGCGGATTTTCAGAGGGATCGGATTTTATCCTAATTAGTCAAAGAGGTTTCACCTTGGCATTTTGTTATTGAATCCATTGACAGTGTTTGTGTTTCCATTCCAGAATTACTCCGTAATATCTCCGGCCGTGAACATTCTGCGTTGTATGTACTTTGAGATCCAACAATTCTGAACTGAGGGATTAGGAATACCCGAAGCGAGGCCAGAAATTAACCATATAGCCTATTCGGCAGAATTTGTGCCTATCATTTCTCCACATGGCTTGACATTCTACAGCGATTCTTCATTGACATCATGGTCTAGCTAGTGTTAATTTATGCCGGAGATATTAATGCCCTAGGGCCAAGACACTACGGGCCATCCGATCCTTCCACGTGCAGGAAACACACCCTGAAGAATAGTAGTCTAAGGTCTTAGTATGGATTACTACTGCATTAGGCGCATACTCGTCACCGACGGCAGTTCTGCTGAGGCCAATATAGATTAAAACGTCGGATTGCCCCTTTTCTTCTTCCGAGCGACGATCCCCGACATGCAAGTACATAAGACCAGGCCCAGCGACGATCACTCCCCTTTTTCTTCACTTGTGACTTGACACTTTTCCTCACAGGCAAGCATAAAATAGATCAAAGAAAAAATAGGGAAGAAAATGCGCTCTATCGCATACCTAGCCAGCGGTCTTCCGGTCGCTTTGGCAGCCACTTCCGGCCAATTCGATGTTCTCTCCTTCAACGTAGCCGGTCTGCCGGCGATTCTCAACGGCAACGAAGTGCCCGGCGATAAAGCCAACAATTCCGAAGCAATTGGTGCCAAGTTCGCCGAATACGGCTATGATGTGATTCATGTACAAGAGGACTTCAACTACCACGCCTACATATACAAGACCGACAACCATCCTTATCGTACCGCCACTTCTGGAGGTGCGGCTATCGGGTCGGGTTTGAACACACTTGCCAACTACCCCTGGGTGGACTTCGAGCGCGTCAAGTGGGAAACATGCTCCGACGCTTCTGGTGCCGACTGTTTGACCCCCAAGGGATTTACCACGATGCGGGTGCGCTTCGACGAGGGTGTTTATGTTGATTTCTATAATATGCATACGGATGCTGGGTATGGACTTCTCGCTTAAAAAAAAATAACATATCCAGATACTAATGTGTCATAGTTCTGAGACCGACGACGTCAAAGCCCGCAGCGCCAATCTGCAGCAGGTGGCCGATTATATTGGAAACAATTCCGCGGGCAATGCAGTTCTGGTCTTCGGCGATACTAATGCGCGATACACTTCTTCTGGCGAGAATATCCGCGTGTTCGGAACTGAGCAGAACATGACGAACCCTTGGGTAGAGCTTATTTTGAATGGTGTCGAGCCTACGGAGGGAACTGATCCCTGGATGTGCGACAACCCGACGACGAACAACACCTGTGAGACGGTTGACAAGATCTTGTAAGTGACCCTTCAGCTGAGTTTGTATTATTGAGATATAGCTAAGATGCAAAATAGTTATCGGGGAAGCCGTTCGATCGAGTTGAGTGCGACCTTCTGGAGCTACGTTGGCACCAAGTTCGAGCTCGATGAGCATATTCTCTCCGATCATAACCCCATCACCTCCAACTTTACATGGACTTTGTCTGACTCAGTGCGCCAGAGTGATCTTTTCGGGGGACCTCACGGGTATGTATTATTTTCAGTACCTATACACTGATTTTGCACCAAGCTAAGTATCACAGGAACTGGTTCAACGATCTCTCCTCCATCCCCTCATCTTCAACAGGACAGAACAAACCAAGCAAGATCACCCTTCGGGGCGAAAACCGCGTAGACAGTGTCGGCTTAGCTTTGACTTCGGGCCAGAGCTACACGCATGGAGGAACAGGTGGCACTGCATCTGAGCTTACCCTGGCGGAAGACGAGTACTGGACTCAGGTCAAACTCTGCCAGGATAAATACGACAATCATACTCGTATCTTCTACCTGCTGGCAACGACTAGCACTGGCAATACTGTCAGTACCGGGAAAACAACGAGCGACTGCAAGGAATTTACTGCGCCAGACTCGTGGCAGATTGTTGGGTTCTATGGACGGGGTGGCGATGAGGTGGATGAGCTGGGTTTTATTTATGCTCCACAGTGAGGGAGGCTGGTGCTATGGAGGGAATTATCATTCCTTGTATATAACGTGAGACCTTAGTACTCTAGAGGCTGTACGAGTTATTAAGAGAGGTTCCGTAAGTACATAACTTTTGAGTGAATCGATTGCACTGCCTACATTGCTTAAATGGGGTTGGATTGACATAAGATAAAACAGAAAATGATGTGTCAGACAAGAGATCACCCCATTCAACTACCTAAAAGTATCCAGACATCACAGGCGTCTCTATAAGGTGATTTATAGGAGGTTGACATGATGTCACTTATGAGTTCTCGACCTGTTAGAACCCAGACACTGAAAGTCAGCCTTCTATATTACTTCGCTACGCTCCGTTGCGCAATTACACACCAGGATATATGGGATTAATGATGTGGGGACAGAGAACTTTGAGAAGTTCACTTGGGAAGGGTAGGATTAAAGAATTGAGGAGTGCACTTTTGGAGTCAGAGGCGTCGCTTTCGGGAGTGAGTAGACGGGACAGACTGGAACAGAACATCGTGCTACGTGAATTTCCAGCGCATTGAGAGCGAGAATGATGAAAGCTCTATGGGATATATCCTGTCCAGCTTCTCAGAAGAACAGGAGAGTTACTGTCATGTACCAAATTACCCTCCTACCAGCGTATCGCACAGCATTCATAGCTCCCTAGCCATTGACTTCATCTTATTCGTATTGGCTTCCCGTTCTTCTTCGCCCCTAGCACCCGGGACTTGATCAGAAAATTTCCTCTTTATTTGCCCTAGCTCATATTTCTTCCTCCACCCCAATCCATGCAATTGTTGCACATGATTTGGGATTTCAGTCATGTAGTTGCATTTATCAGCATCACCTGTATGTCCGAGGAACACTTTATATAGACATACTAAGAAAGGGCGAGGAGCAGGGAGAGGAAGACGACGGAGAAGAGTAAAGAAGGATGCGAAGTAGGTATACTAAATATCTAGATTATGAGATGAGATGTTGATATAAGTTGAACGGCATAGTACCCAAAGAAAGATATGTAACTTGCCTATAACACAGCAATGAGCTATATCGTATAGGTGTCGCATTACTTGGCTAGGGACTTTTCAATTCTCGTACAAACGTTCATGTGAATGATGAGAATTGCTGACAAAATCCTATATGATTGAGACAAGATTGATTGCACGCAACTGTTCGATCGCGCACTGGGGTCGATGAAGAGAAAAAAACGAAAAAGAAAAAAGGAACGAACCAGCTTTGAACATTCAAATGCGAGAAATTCCCTCAGAGACACACTGTAGGTCCATTCTTGTCCTCTCAGTTGCTAACTCATAAATGCTAGCTTATCCTTGAAATTATATGACCGCTTGATACAGCCCCTAATGCGGCAAAAAGCCACAGTCACCGATTAATATACCTCTCGGGGGTAGCCACCACAAGATAAAGATATCCATTAGTAAAACCCTTAAGAAAGGAATATCTTGAAAATAAGACTTATCACTGCTGTATCACTGATTCCAGCATGTTCCTCTCAGTCAGAAAGCCAACATTGACAGTTCTTCTAAGCCCATCCTCTAATATGCCCAATGTACCAGTTGAAGCAGCGACAAATAACTTCTTTATTTGCTGCGAAACTTTTGCATTGTACCCTAACTTACGTATATCAAGGCTAATATTGGGGAATGGGGCAATAGGACACGAATCAATGATACAAAGCTCAAGACATACTCTGCACTAACAGGTTTTATGGAGAACCATGTTCAAGAACAATTGATACGATGATGTAAGGAAACCATGTAAAGTCGCAATTCATGGAAGCACTGTAATCAAAAATGGGTCATCAAGGCAGATTTCGTACTTGAGGAACAGGTCATGGCAATCGGTAAACACTCACTGCGACTATCTCAACGCCTTTTTCATTGCTTCTCGCCGACGGTTCAGTCTAGGTTTAATAGTATGACTATCTAAATCTCCTGCATGTCCATTACTAACTCAGGCTTTAACTGGCTTGATTCAGAGACATGTCTGTCAGTCAATATTCTTTCCAAATTGGAAGTCATCCGAGTGTTCCGCTCCCACTCAGGAAAGCAACGAAAGGAAGTCGGAAAGAGAAATCAAGACCGACGATCAGTATCAGCTCAGCACTCACCGACTCGGGAAAAGGCCAGCTTCCTGTAGGTTGCATACGATGTTAATATGTCTGCACTGTACTAGTAGGATACAAGTACAAGCGCTTTTCCAGATCAGGCTCTCAACTGGGCTTTAATATAAACTCGGGTTGTTCGGGGTGCCGAAAAGTCGGTGTTGGACCCATAGAAATATACTAGTCGAGATATTTATGTCAATCAATATCATGTTGTTCTTTGTGTTTAGTGACTGTGTTTTTTGTTGAATGTTATATAATTGATTAATGATCTCAACGCAATCCTAGATAGTCGTTAGCGCACTCAAAAGTCTCCGTTCGTTATGCCCGTACTCTCAATGCATCGTATTATTATTAGCTGCCTCAAACAGTATCATTAAATGATTATCAGACCTCAGACCATGTATGTCACAATAGAGTTCGATCGCCAGGGCTCGGCAGCCAGAGTCCGGCGCCCGAATTGCGTAAGCCACAAGTCTTTGCTGCCTACATGCAGAGAACATATGACAGGTGCAAAGCCAGCCAATCCTTTACCTTCACTACATATTTCTAGTTCATCATCTTCAATTCACAAGACTGGTGGCGTAGCGGAGGGTATATTCCGAAAAGTCCGTTAAAGTTTACTTAGGGTTATGTGTAGCAGTCTGAAACTCGGCGAAGATCCCGTGTCCAGTAAAGAGGGAAGGAAAATGTTCCGTCTAAAATAGGGCAAGCCACTAGAAGGTTAAGAGCCGACTGTTTGGTCCCTTCATTTATCGTACGCGGCTCTTCAGATACACGAGCTCCACAGGACCCACTGTTTTAAGCTCATCTTTACCCCTTTTACTCATTCCACAGCAAACACGGGCCATGTTTCCAGGTTTCCAGAACCGCAGTGCAGATTCTGACCATTACCGTTGAAGAAGAGTCTCGGGGTGTTTCGGATTTTGACCGTTTTTTACCGTTTTGGTTCCTTAAACGCTGGAGAGCTTCGAATAGACCCTGTTCTAAACTTTTATTCTCTTAGAGATCAGATCATACGAAATGCACCCAATGGGTACTAGAAGATCATTTCCTATTCATCCACGGAGCTCTATAACCCTTTACTGTCTATATTTGTATTGATTTCTGAATGATAGACTGACTATATAAGCCATGGGACACCCCATGAATAACTCTTCATACCAAACACAACTCTGCCAACTACCAACTTCACACATTCATTCCAATCGTTCACTCTTTCGCTCCTTCTATCCACCCAACTATTCACAATGAAGCTTTCTCTGAACCTCCTGCTCCTTCCCATGGCCCTCGGTGCCGCCATCGGTATCCGTGACGAGGGTCGTCGCGGCAACTACACTGTCAAGGACTTGGGCGTGCGCAAGCAGGCCATCATCAGCGCCGGTGGTAACACCATGGACCTGGCCATTGCCATGCTGGAGAAGTAGGTTCTATTCTGTGGGCTCTTGAATAAGACATCAAAAGTTTTACTGACCGGCAAATATTAAAGCGACAAAATGGACCCCAGCACCTACCCCTATGGTAAGTCTATATCCAGCTAAATTGGATCCGATTAGCCAAATATTCTAACAGAACACAGGTGACGGCAAGACCGGTGATGCCACCAACTTCGGTATCTTCAAGCAGAATTGGATGATGCTGCGCACTTCCGCCACCGAGTTTCTTGGCGACAAGGTTGAGGATGTCAAGAAGGGCGATGTCCTGAAGTAAGACAGTCTGCTCTGTGGTTCTCTGAAACGAAATCTAATACCTCTGCAGCACCAACCTTGAGAAGGATATCAAGGCCCGTCACGACGGCGAGAAGAAGTACGGCTTTGACGTCTGGTACGCTGGTCACCGCAACGGCGCGTCCGGTCTCGAGAACCCCAACACTCAGGATATCACCAGTATGTTTTCTGAAAAAGATTGCACTTATTCTTGTGCTAACTAGATGAATAGACTACAAGAGCGCTGTCAAGTGGATCAAGTCCCAGATCGAGAGCGACAAGAAGTACCAGAGCGACGACACCCGTTTCTGGGTTGATGTCGTTGCCATCTAAGCTGTTCCTCGAGATGGTGGCTGTTCGCTAGCGAGAGAAGACATGTGGTGGTTGTGTATTTGGCAGACTTCATTCTTTTTCTATTTTAGACTCCGGGACTGGTTCCCTGTCGCTCCTTTAAATTTACTTTCAATAGACCGTGCTATATTACCTAGTCTTCCATTATTATCTATCTGTGCTGTGTCCTTCTAGTAAGACGCTGAGCCAAATACTACTAAGTCATTTTGGCCGAATAGTGAAGGCTGACATTGTTATACCGATAGTACATATACATTAAGTATTATTTAAAACAAACACATAACACACCTAAAACAGAAGAAACATAAACTGTTTCAATAGCACCAGCCTGAGGTTTCATCCTTACTCATTTTCTCATCATTTCTCTAAGAGCAAGGATATTAAAAAGCTTCAACGTTTGATACTGTTCATGCATATTCACATTATCCTGACCATATAACGCAGCAAAGGTATTTTCGCTCTTCCACCTTAAAATGTGTTTGTGTTAGTCTTATATTGAATGTGATGGATTCTCTTTTGCTTGTGATTCGGTGTCATTTCCGTGTTCTGGCAAGTTGTATATATATATATATATATATATATATATAGTTGCCTTCGTATACCGGACTCTTAGGCTCGGATACGTCGTGGAACTAGGATGAGTTGGGCTTTAACGCTGGTGGAGATTAGGCCGTGTACCTCCGACTGGAGCTATGGCAACGGCGACGTTATGTCTCCTTTCTTGAACGAGAGGTGTCGTTTATGAAAGATAACGTATTAGCAGAATAGCAGGAGGACCATGATGTATGACTTGATGCTCATTTCAAAAGCATAGACCAAGTCGTACGATCATGGTTTAGGTAATCGCCAGAAGGGACCTCCAGCAATTCCATGTCTGCCCTGACCTCTTCCCTGGCTGCTGTCGCCACCGCCTGGAGATGAAGGGGGAGTTAATGGAGGTGAAGGCGCCTGGAATGAAAGCACAGTGTCACTCTCACTGCATGTTTCTGGCACCTCTCTCAGATAGTCTTGAACCGGAGCAATAGCATGCGGGTAGGACACCTCATCAGAGAAGTCCGGTGACTGTGCTAGCCATCTATGTATAGTAGCCGCCTTACAAGCCACTGAATAGCTGCTATTCTCCGAACAAATAGTCACAGAGTCATCATCAGAGTCAACCAGAGTTATTTCATCACTATCCGGATTAGGAAAAAGCTCTGGGAACATGAGGTGCAAGCGCCGCTCAATTCGATCCAACCGCCTCGATAGTTCTTCGGTGTTTGGTCTGTACCCGTCAGGAAATGATCACTTTTAGGCTTTACCGTGCGAGATGCAAAATAAGATGTACGGACTTATCACACTCCTGCCCTTCACTTTCCGCTACTGCCGTCGGTAGGCACTGGTCCTTGGTAGTCCTCCAGTGACGCACACCAACGGTCTTCTTACGACAGCCTTGCCCATTCCATAGACATGGCTTGGAGAAAGATCCGTGTTCCAACTACCGGGCTATTTAGTCGTCCTCTATGCAAGATATGTCAAGGTTTATGCAGGACAGGGTTATCTTACCCTAACCTCTCTCCCCCGGTCATCACTATCCAGGTCAGCCATTTCCCCCTAAAACGAGGAGATCAAAAAGTCCAGTTTATCCCAGACCTACCAAGCCTTTGGCATAGATCTACCCCGTATCTGCCGTTTCTTGACATGCCTATCCGATTCGTTGCCACTCTGGGAGGCATCTGCAGGGCGCTTAGCGCCTGTTTGGCGGTAGGCAGTTGTTGTATCGCTCAGACGTCGTGCCATTGCAATTCATGAAAGTCTGTATATTGTTTGTATTCTAACATATTTCATTCGAGTAGTTAGTTGTGACTCTCGCTCATTTGTACTATCGGTAGTCGGTCAATAAGCGTGGCGTGGCGTGTCTTCCGGGAATCTCCAGATCGTTCCGCCACTCGGCAGGATTAGTCAATTTCGGGATTATCGGAATAGATGCCTTCGAGGGTTATAATTATATAGTAATAGTAAGCTTATCCTACTGTCGGATATATCGGATACTATGGATTCGAAGTCGTCGTAGTGGTGTTAATTCTTTTTCTACAAGGCTTGACTTGTTGTGCCGAGGTGTCGTTAACCAGGGACGGAATTATCGGAACTAGGGGACGGAAACGCCGGAGCGATGACCGTAGGTTTCGGCGATATCTGCCTAGGTATTATGTCATATATATTCCAGGGTTTTGGAGATGGTGGAACTATTGTATGGGTTTATAGCATTCATCTATATTATTTTTGTTCGCAAGAACTTGCTTAAACACAAATGTCATTGACGCTTTGTTTGACTTGGTGCTTAAGAAGTACGCCGAGTGTTACCATGAAATTGTAGTTCTTAACAAAACGAGACTATATCATATTCAATTCGTTAACTAGTAAGTATCGTCGAGACTATTACATTATACTAGACGTAATATACAGTAAATCATAAACAATAAACAAACACGGAACGTAAATCACAAAGCACTAATGGAAATACGCTTGGCTCCCGCATTGCCATTCAGCAATGCCGATCCACTGGTCTGTCTCAAATGGTTGTGATGCGTTTCCAGGTCCTCGACATCCAAGCTGAACCGACGGGGTCGCTCCCACACACCAACGTTCTCATCAGCACCACTGGTCGCTTCGAGCTGCTCCAACGAGAGGCCAAACTTGGTGGCGATCTGCTGCACTCGTTCTTGTGCGGCCGCCGGATCAATGGCACCCTGGCCCTCCTTGGCAAGGCGGGCTTGCGCATGCTGAAGCAGCTCCAGATGCTGTGTAACGACCTCAATGGCACCTTCCTGGTGGTCGGTTTCACTGTTGAGAAGCTCGGCAAGTGCAGTTTCGTGCAACGCTGCTGCAGCCAGGTGGTTACCCGAGGCCGTGTACAGGCCGGACAGCAACTTGGTCATTTCCAGAGTGACGGGATCACAGTTACCCCAGACTTGACGGAGGTTGTAGCAGATGTCTTTACCAAGCTGTGTGGCTGACGAGACGCGACCACGGCAGAAACGTGTTTCGACCAGTCGGCGCCCAATCCAGACAACGGCTGGGAGTGACCAGGTCTTTTGGACAATACGTGAGGTCCAGAGTTCGGTGAGAATGGCCTGCTTTGTTAGCATATCATTTGCTCTATACTTTACGGTAGTACATACCTCCAAATCCTCAAACATTTCATGTTCACCTAACACAGTGACAAGGTCATTCAGCTCTGCGAAAGGAAGTTCGGTGAACTCAAGTGGGAGCTCCTTGGTCTTGGTCATAATTTCTTGTAGCAGCATCTGAGACTCCATTGACATATTCTTTGCGGTTGTCTCTTCGGTACACTTCTTGGTCTGGTAACCGTTCAAGAACATGCAAAGCTTGATAGCAGTGAAGATGCTTTCCGGAGTACGCAATCCATCGGTTAGATGCACAAAGGAGTGGAACACCCCAGTCACATCTGCTGCATCCTGGAATTGCGAACGATCGCAAAGGTCCCTCACCATACCCATGGTTGACGTGACTATGTTGATGTTATAGTCGTCCCGAAGTGACTCCCGCCTGCAAAGAGCGTAGAATTGCTGCACCGCATCCTTCTTCCGGAGCGGCTGTGCAACAGACAGGGTGTTGCAAAAGTAATCGTACAGCTTGTCCTGGGTATCCTGAGCAGAGTTGTAGCGCTTCTGGTTCGTTTGAAGCGTGTAAAGTTTCTCGCCAGCTGCCAGTGTAGGCATGAGATCATGGCTGGATAGACTTCGCTGGAAGGCATTGTAGACCTGGCCCTCGCGAGACAGCTCGTCAAGGATCTGCTTCGACGAGCGTTGTTTACCAAAGACCTCCTCAAAGGCAGCGACGAAGACGGCAGGACGATACTCATTGAGTGATTGGCGTTGAGCGGCAGGTGTCTCATTGATCACACGCTGATGCAGGTCGTCAATTAGTCGATTGCCCTCGTCAATGTAGCCAAGCTCCAGATAGATCTCGGCTAGTCTGTGAGCACGATCAACCAATGCTTCATGGTTAGCAGTAACGTGCACTACTTCATCAACATGTTCATCAAGCAAAGCTGCGCCCTTACGACGCGACTCGGGGGACTCTTGGATAGCGTGCATCCGGGCAATCTCTCGCAGCCACGAAAGTGTGGTCGGGGCGGAGAGCCCCTGCTGCTGCTTGGCCAACGCTAGCTCCTCAGCATACAGGGAACGTGCGGGTTCCGAAGTATCCTTCTGGCGGAGATACAGCTGCGCCATTTGGTGCTTAATACTAATTGGGAGGGGCTCGGACATATCGGGCAGAGCACGCGAGCTTTCCAAGGGTGATACCCAGTCATGAGTATTCAAAACTTGATGGTAGTTGTTAATCGCCTCCCCGGCATGCTGATCGCTATCCGCGCAGAGAGCAGCAAGTGTAAGGGTTGCATCGCGTGTTCGTGCGTTCGTGGGGCCATACAGCTTGCGACATAGCTGCTGGTGCTGAGATGCGACCTGGTACCGCTCTGCATGGCTTCCTTGTGCAGCCTTATTGTTCAGAAGTTCCATATAGCCAGTGTAAGTCTTGGGTAGTAGTCCTTCGAGCAGCGCACGGTCATAGCCATCCTTTTCATCAAATCGTACAAGGGTGGGCCACAGATGGCGGTAGACCTCGAGTGCTGAATCCCACTGTTTGTTCTGCACGTAGATGTTGACCAGGGCCACTGCAGCCTTGACACCAGAAGAGCTAACCTTACCATCGCGGATGCAGGCTTCGTAAATATGACGATAGCTGCTTTCAGCTTCAGCTCGTTTATCCAGGCGTAAGGCCAAATCGCCTTCATAGTATCGAGTATCGATTGTGTGTTTGTCGTGGTCGCCCAGGCGAGATCCAAAGAACTCACTGACCTGATGAAGGAGAACTAGGGCCTTTTCAAACTGGAAAGTAGTCTCGTAGAACTCAACCACGGTCTTCACCACAGCGGTGACTGAGGGAACTGCCACCTGATCTGCCGTGATAGAAGC